AATTGACGTTACTGTGGAACCTATCGTTATCAATCTAGGAGACGAAGATAATTCATCAGAATATTCAGAGGATGAATTTTAATATACCTACTTTTTTATTTTCTTTATTGTACATTTATACAACACTACATTTACTCACCATAATTTGAATTTTCAAAATACATATATTTTTGTGTGGAATAAAAGTCTATTCATTAAATTTAAATAAATATTTTGATAATAATATTGAATAATTTTATTTGAATTACTAAAAACCCTCTTAACCCGGTTATGATGCTTAAAATAGCCTCATGTTTTGAAATGCTGTTTTTATATTGTTTACTTATAAGAGAAATGGACCGAGAAATTGAAGCGGCATAGACAAAGACGGATTGTCGGGGATTAAATTTTAGCTACCTGCTACAATTTAGTACAGTCCGATCGCACAAAGTTTTGTTAAAAGTAGACCTCATCTATACAAACATAATATAAAAATATTGAATATAAGCACCAGTACTACATTTATTTATGATTTGCATACATAATGAGCTTTTATTACTCTCTTTCATTTCTAAACAGACTATCAATTGTAAAATGTAAAGTTTAAGACTAGATTTTATTATTTAGACTTTAATTTCGATAAAACCCGATAAATAAAAAAAGTAATTACGTAATTTACAGACTTCATTTGTATAGAATTTCACTAATAGGAACGTACTACTGTACCAATGTACTAAAAGCAATCAGGCAAGTACTCTTCAATCCACTAACGATTCAAAGAAGTAGGCGATTTTCCAGCGGTTTCTGCATTGCGGCGGACTTTATATGTCTCTTCTTGTAAAGCGTAAGCAACAACCTCATCCGTGTTTAACAAGGGAATACATTTTCTCGATTTGGGTGGCATAGAGCGCGAGCGAACTTAAAGGATGGACGTTTTATTATCAATTAACGAGCTTTTAGTAGCAATGAACATGGAGTTTAATGAAGGAAATACGGTTTCTGTGTTCTTGACATCTACCCATTTCCGGAATTACGACGAAATTAACTTAAGTGTGTATTTTACCATCAGTTTAAATGATGGTGTATTGGACTTAGACATACCAGAAAGTGTTATTTCTTTTCTGTGTTAAATGTATATTTTATTATTAGGTATAGCACTTTTTCTTTATTTTAAGGATATTAAGTTCATTGAAATTTACACACACAACTTGGCAATGTTGCATTACAGTGCGCGTACCTATATCCTGGCACTGCAAGATATAGAGGCGTGTCAAGCCGTTAATATTTTAATCTTTCTTATTAATCATTTGCGTTGTTATTTTAATTTTTATAAAATACACTAAACTATTCATATGGCTTCAAAAATTGAACTCTATAGGATTTAGACAGGTGATATGGCCTGCGGTCTTGGAAGGCAATATTGAACTTGTAACAAAAGCCGGGACTGGTGATAGAACATTTGTTAATTCTCGGAACGGATGGATCAACTCAGTCAACAATAATTATTGAAAAAAGTGAAGGGTTCTCAAGTAGGTTTAGTGTCGCCATAAAGTCGTTGAGAAACTGGTGCCTCTTATCACCAGGAGTAATCATTTTAAATACGTTAGTTGGCTTGAGCAATTCATGAAAATTATTTTTTCCCTTTACACCATGCAAATTAAATGAATACCTTAGGAGATATAGCAAAATCAAAATAATGCGCGACGAAATTAATTTCGTGTCGCCGTGGTTCGACCGGGCCACGCGGGCGCCCTGTGACCCCGCGCCTCGCGTCCGAGCCGGGGGGGTACGAAAGTTTATGTAGTGTATCAATGTATGGTGGAATTGTGTATCTTATATATGCCTACAGTCCATATGTCTATATGTTAAAGATAACATACTACCTATATCCATTTTAATACTTTAAAAAATTGGCAATTATAAAGCGGTAATATAAAAGCTATTTACACAAATACGGTATTTATCCTTATCATTTTAAATAAGTTGGAGGCTCTAAGAATTTCATGCACATTATTTTAATCTTTTACACCATATAATTTAAATGAATATCTTGGGAGTAATCGCAAAAAAATTACGGACGCGAGAATAAAATTCAAGCGCCTCGCTTCGCTTGATGCGATCGCCGACCCTCCCCCCGCACCGTCTTGCCTACTGTTCAGCTAATAAGCCGAACGATAACGCGCACGTGATCCTTTAATAAACTGACTTGGAGCGAATGGAGGTGACGACTGACGACTGTGTTTTCTTTCTGGGTGTTGTTGGAATTGCGTTCGATATTTTAAGGTCACATTTTTGTTTTGTATTTGTTGTCTTTAGGTAGTCGGAACATACATAGATACTTGCAAACATACTTTTATTTCATTGAGTTTTAATAATTTGTTTGTTTTTTTCTTATTGTGAATCATTTAAAACTTCATAGTCGCATTTTTGTTTCGTGTTTGTTTTCTTTAGGTAGTTAGATACCTAACTACTTACTTATTAATTAAAACTGATAGTCCTGGACATTTTTAGTTTTGAGTTCATTTGTTGTCTTTAGGTATATAGATATAACGTGAATTATTTTAAAATTAATATTAGGGTCGCCTTAGATGAAAGATAATTAATTTTTTGTTTGTTACGATTTAACTCAAAAACTACTCAACCAATTTTACCGAAAGCTACATCTCCTCGGAGTAACATAGGCTATTTTATATTTGCCCGTGCCAAGCCGGGTCGGGTTGCTAGTTATTAATAAATGTTTATACGTATTTTATTATCTTTCACTGAGAAATTTAACTGCAAATTAGTATTAACTGCACTGTTGTCAAACGCACTATTTTATTAAAACATACTTTTTAAGCAATTCAAATTACTTGAAACATCAAATATCATTAAACGTTTAACGTATTACTTCCTTGGCAATATAAGTCTCCTACCTGTTCGTTCCTAAACTGATGAGTACTACACAGTTTCTTGATGAGTCTTCTGAGTTTGGCGAACACGCCGTTCGCCTGCTTCGGCCCGCTCGAGGAGACGAGCAGCTCGGCCTCGACCTCGAGGCCTTCGATGTCTGGGCTGGAATTGGGGGCGGAGCCATTTTCGCGGACCGGGGGCGATCGCGGAACGCTGCCGACCTGAAAATGATAAATAAAATGTAAAACTGGAGTGAGAATTAGACCGAGTTGTGATTGAGAAATTGTTGCGTTACGAAGTATTGGATGTAAAGGGAGGTTTACGTACTAAAGCATGGTTTACACCCGGGCTAGCACTTTCTCACCATCATATCTGTCACTTGTCATCGTTATTTTTAAATGACAAACTATAATTTGGCGAGAAAAAAAGTCCTCTTGTAAATGTTTAGAATGAGAATATAGGTACCATTAGAATTTATATGAGGCTTTTTAATAAATAGACACATTATGTTACTTGTAAATACTAGAGTGAAGTAAGAGGTTCTCAACAAGTTTTCCGTTAAAACAATGTATAATTATGTTAAACTTGACATACACATTTTTTAATGAAAAATAATGATAACGATTTTACGATTTGATCTATTTTAGATACAAACTGCTGCCTGGTTAACCACATCCATTTTTGCGGTTTTACGCGACAGCAAAACTACGATTCAATTGTTAATAATTTCCAATAGCAACTGAATCCATTATTAAAGTTACATTTTGTGGTTGTAACAACATTGTTCTGGAAGTATTTATACAACTCAAAATATAGAGCAATTTTACATAAATTATGAAATTTATTATCCTTTCCATTAGCGAAGCATTTGTTTCGCAGTTCAATTTAAAATATACACAGGATATTCTATGAAAATCGTTGTGGTTTGTAACAGGTGAGGACTATGGAATATGCATCATGATTGAAAGAAAATAGTCACTTAACTGCGTGTTTTTTACATAGAAGATTGTGATGCAAAAGTGTAACAACGGTAACTTGTACTACTCAAGAATATCGCTGTATAATAATTATACGATGCTGCATAAGATAATGTAAGAGTATATGTATCACTCTGTACAATCTGTATGAATAATATGAATACAAAAAAACCGAGAGATATCGCAAAAAATGCACAACAATGGTTGTCGTTCGTCATTTTGTACTTCAAATTACACCAAACCTTATAATGGCAACCAATTCCAAAAGTTATTATTATCTAGTCAGTGTTGTATCCTAAAAACCCAGACGGAGACTGAGTCTATTTTCTGTTCTTATAAATTCAAATAATAATCGTTTTGCTTTGGGTGTGAACAGCTTGAATAATCTCCTTTGTTTTTTCAAAAGGGTTTCTTAAAAATTGCGGCACTTTGTACTGGAACGTGATTGTTTCTGTAACGCGGTTGTTTGTCTTAAAAACATCTTTTTTATGCCTTCGTCTGGATTTGGTACACAAAAAAGAGTATCACTTAGCTCTCTGGGTAAAACAAACAATCCTCAGAAGAAATTGCCAAATTTATATCGACATTCTCCAACGCTATCTTGATGTAGTTTCGGAGGCATTCGTTTAGAATGACGCATATAAAGGGTATAGGTTTAACTGGGGGTTATTTTTTTTAGGAGCAATAATTTTTGAAATCAGTAAATAATTCGATTTTTAAACTGCATTTAAATTCATTTTACGCTCTGTATTGTTTGCAAGAACGATAATATTACAACTAAATTTCCTTCTACCACTACGTAATAAAAGTCGTTGAATAGCCGATTATTTTCCGACTATTATTAAGAATGATGTTGCCGTAGCAGTAAAACTAAAGGAAATATCCTGGGGAGACCGACGAACATTGAAATCTATTGGTCTTCCTCACGCTAGGCGGCCTAATAAAAATTAATTTTCCACCATGCGCTATTTCTACACGAAAAGTTCTTTTGTCCTTCAGTATGAAATGGTCTCTGACCCCAATGACAGGGCAAATCTTTTCTAACAGATCTACGAGGGTTGCAGAAATGTCTTTCTCACAGTTTTTGTTTTCAGTATGGTATAAATAGCAAATTAAATGAGAAAGTATCATGAGCTAGACTAATATACCTTATATACCCCATGAATCTTAAGAAGACAGGTGCATCAACCAAAATGTGACATGACATTGCTAGTACAATGGAAAACAACGCTTTACTATTAAATATTCTATCACCGCCGTTTCAGGGGGTGCATGCTTATAGTGGCATTCCACTCTTACACGTTTTGTCTACCAGCTGTAGTTTTTTGTTAATGAAAAACAAATTTGAAGGGATATTTTAAAAAATAAAACAGTCAAATTGCTACTTTATTTTATGTCTAAAAACGTGTTTTGACTTAATGTCTGTCTACGGATACTTCTACTTTAATAGTCAATCATCAACTTAGATCTCCTTTAACTATTACAATTCCACATTTTCTGTAAATTTTTTCTACCCCGCTATACTTGGCTGAACCCCCGGCAACTTTATTATGATATAAATTTAAATTACCCCGTACTTTTTTAACCATTCCATTCTGATTATTCGGAATTATTAAGAAGTCCGAATATCCTTATTATTAACGCTCGGTTCACATTTATTGGGAATTCGATCGGACTGGTAATCCCATCGGGAGACTTATTTTTAGCGAGAGAAGTCGTCCGAGAACGGGGCTGCCTTCTGACGTTTCTGGTGAAATTGCCTGGCCTTGACTGTAAATCTTTAACATTTCAACGATTCTAGAAAAGTACGTTGCTTAACTATAAAAATATTATCTTTACAAAAACGTGTATTGTATGTGTGGAATGTATCTACTATATATTTAATATATTTTACCTAAGCCTTAAAATATGAATATGTATATCAAATGAATCTAAATTTAATTAAAAAAAATACCTTTTATTCATTGTTGAAATTCAAAGTAGTAATTTTTTCAGGAAGACGTTTTATTTTTATACAAATTAGCATCATTTTGTCCTTCTGTCTATTTATTACGTAATATTTGCACTAATAATAATTCTTAAAAAATTGTATTTGTTATAACTTTTTTATTAAAAATTAAAAAATATCTAATTCTCTGAAAAGATAGTTTACATTTTTTAGAGTTGATTGAAAAAAAAATTATAAAATTCATTCATTTTTCCGCTTGCTACGATTTTTTTAAATTTCTGAAATCATCCTTTCTCCTAGCCTCCTTAATTCTGTTAATTTTAATACTTAGTAAATCAAAAAGTCAAAAGACCATTTTTATGTAGAATTTTGCTAGAGACTACAGTTGTCCAGCTATGTAGTGGTTGAATGTACTATAACTATAACTTCAATATTTTTTTTCTCTGAAACTATAAGGATTTTACAAAAATTTTTTTTACGACATTGATTCCATTTCTCATGCTGCATCTATTCCCAAATTTTTTTGGATAAGTTGTGAATCACCCTGTATATTTTTCCAAAAATTAAAAAAAAATGGCGACGTATAAAACTAGGGTGACGTATAAAACCTTACCAAAGCTGCAAAAATGAAGATAATTGAATTTTGCAAATTGCTTTTGGTTTCTGCATATTTACACTGTGTATACTAAATTTCAAGTGTCGGCAAAACTTCAAACAAATTTGGCAAAGTCCTGATTTTCGGCTTTAGCGTCATTATTGTATATTTTGTTATGATATTGTTTTTATATAAATTTATATTTTAAATTTTGATACGAGATTTGGTTTTGAATAATGTGTTTAATGTATTGAGTGTTGCGTTTTTTGCTTTTGTTTTATTTCTATGATGATTATTTAGATTTCACTGTACATTGTTTAATACACCTTTCTTTTCTTTCTTACCTCGTATATTTAATTATTTTTTTTATATATACCCTTGCTAGCTGCCACTTAGATTTTGTTTTAAGCCTAATCTCAGAAGTCGGTTCTATTTCCTTAATTCAGGACTTGTAGCATGCAGAACAAGAAAAAAATAGAGTTTTAAGATTTTACACAATATTTATTATTTTTTTTAATGAGTTATCGTGATTATATAACAAAAATATTTAAATTGATTGGCTTTTTCTCAGAACTATTTTCGTATAATTTAATTTCTAATTGAACAAATATAAAGAATATTTTATTTTCTGGTACTTTTCCTTATCCTATTACAACTTTTACAATACAAGAGCTTGGTAGTTTTTTTTTCTTTTTCTTTCCAAATTTTTTCTATCTGAATTATTTATGTATACTACTTTCAACACTTGCTCGTATATTGTATTGCATATCTTAATTATCTAACTCTAACTAGTATAAATTGACATTTAAATACAAATGGACGTCTGTGTTGGACATCTTTTAAGCTCATTCAAATTAGTCCGGTTTAAAAAATGGTTTTGGGATTTTTTAATAATTAACTTTATCCAGGTAAGTCCTGTTATTTAGTTTTACCTTTTTTTTTATATAAGGTAAACTATATCACTACTTTATTGTTTAAGCTATAGCTGTGAAATTTTTATTTATTTAGTGCACTTTATTTTTATTTTTAAGGTACCTGTTGATCGTTGGATTCTGCTTTCCTTACTGGAACGATGTTTTTTTTTATACCATTTATGGGCCACTGGAATACTCTCTCGATACTGCCTTTTTATGGGTTACACAAATTTTCTTGCCTGGTGATTTTCTTGGTAGATTTCGAAGATAAACGATTTTTTTAAGACCATTGGTAAGTTTTATTTTACTTTCTGCATGTTATATCTTGAATTTTATATGATTTTTTCTACTTCTAATATCTGGCTTCTTCCCAATCAAACCAAGCCGTAACTATCAATAAACAATTGTTTTTTCGCTTTCTGGAAGTTTCTAGTGTTTCCTTTTTCCTTAAGGTTCCTTCACATAGATTCCAGTCTTTGGGCGTCCCTTTTTCACAACACTTTCACCTCACTACTTATATCTAATACATTTGTGACAATGTCTTTTTATTTCTAACATATAAATTTAGTACTTTTAGTGAAATATTCTTTATTTATGTTCTTTCTTTTCTAGGTCATATTCTGGTCCTTGTAAAGCCAACTTTAGTTTTGACATGTGATAAATTTTATAATTTTATTTGACATTTAATATTAAAATTTCATCATTGAATTCAGTTGATTAAAAATATTTTCTCTACTTCTAATAGTCTACCTAATTTATGCATATCATATTCATCTATGGATATTTG